GAAGAGCGTTACTTTTTATTTAATTTCTCATTTATGAAGGTTTCTCTCAGAGATCAAAGAAATTTCTGCCTCCTGCACAAAAACCTATTCACAATCCCATCGCAAGTGTCCAGTGGCAGACTGTGAAATCACATGATCTGGAGGAATCTGTTTTGTGCACCCATGAACCTTCTAGAGAAAGAGATCAAGCTGTTGACTGGATGGGTTTTGTGGAAGCAAGGCCTTTACCTACTGCCAGTGCTCCTCCCTTCAAGACTCGGTACGGTTTGCTACATCTTGATTGAGTTAACAAAATTTGCTGATGTAACAAGCAGTTCTTTGTGTTTGAAATGGATATTGGCAGTAGAACAATAAGTGGGTAAACAGACTGGATTCTATTGTAAACCTAGGTTGTTCAGAGCTCCCACAAGAAGGATCTCGGGGAATGATGAAGACGGTATCCCAAATCAGATGATGTCAACAACAAATGACACAGGTTTCCTTGGTCAGGTTGCCATGACAACCACCGGTCCACAGACCACACATGCTGTTGCTACCTGTAGTCCCTTTATTGACTTTGGCCAAACAGAACAAACATGTGATGTACCTTCAAAAACAAACCATAATCTCCATTTTGGTTTCAAACCTGCAGAATTTGAAGGTAATATAATACTGTAGCACTATTAGTTAACTGGAATGTCATGATATAGAGTTAGTACAAGTTGGCACAAATTTAACCAGCTATTCTACCTGTTAAAAAGTTCAATCTCTGTACTTTTTACTGCCGGGTACATACTGCATGATTTTAGCCCAGATTTGCACTCAAATGCCCAAAATCAATGGCAAATTGGTGCTCGTGCATGTGAGTGACCCATCTTACCCTCAATGTGATGTCTGACCCCCAGTCGACGATTTGTTTTGTAGTGTGCATTTAACAGCAGCTAAATGGTACCCCAGACAGTCGTGTGGTGTGAAAAGAACAGCAACTTTGAAAATCATGCAGTGTGTTCCCAGCATAATAGAGTAAAATATGAATTTTTTTAGGGCATGTGCAAAAACTGTAACAATTTCCATACATAGAGAACAATTAGTGTTAATCAGAATATTTGGCATGTTAATATTGATATTGTTTTTCAAGGGTCATCTGGAAAAGGAACACTACGTCCAGTCTCTGAAATTCGTATCCTCTTTCATTTAGCCCAGCTGATAAGAAATACATTTTAATATAATTACAGACCTCATGAAATCAAAATAATAAGAGTTTTGTGGCTTTGTGTTGTTTATTAGTGTTGATCTAATCTATAGTATATGCTATTGTATTCTAAACGCTGACAAAATTCACTTTTGGGCAATATTCACATTAAAAAATTAGAAAGATTCTCTTCTGGGAAT